CGGTTATCTAAGACATCTATACAACGAGATCTGAAAGCTGAAAAAGGAGTAGGCTAAGTCCCTCTAATTTTTTTTTTGAGAGGTTCCTTTCTATACTTCACGTTAATAACCAGGCAGTGGGCCAACGAGTATATACCGCGTGACTACGATGTGCCTGGCATATGCTAGACACGTCAAAAGTGCACTGAGAGACACAATTGGGGAAATACACAGTAGGTTTCAGCCACACTCTGGGGTCCTCCGGACAGCTTCTCCATTCCTGACCCCTCCAACCCCATCCAGGGCTCCCATTCTAGGACTCCAGTTTATCCCCCCATCTAGCCCACCCCATCTCTAGGATCAGCTACCAGGGCTCCTCTCTCTTCCCCGCCCCCTTCTTTGTCCGAGGTTTCTCCCTTCGTCAGGACTCCTTTTAGCTTTCTTCCCTCCCTCTTCCTGGGCCCGGCTCTTACCTCTGTGAAACCCCCATAAGTTGTCTGGTAGAACTCATCTTCCTCCTCCGCCTCCAGGAGCCCAGAAAGTCGGTTCCCCGCGGTCTTCCGGGGGACCCGGCCCCCAGCCAAGCTCATATCGCCTACGCGAACTGCGTTACCACCAGCAGGTCCTCACCCAGCACCGTTCTCTGGGCTCGGTGCTCGACACCACTACCTGCGGGCGGGCAGGGAAAGCCGGTCGCCTACAGGCAGAAGTAGAAGAGCGCCGAGAGGCTCCTAGTCCCATCCCCTAGGCCTTCTCAAAGCTTCTCAAAGCCCCGCCCACTCCTGCGTAGAGACCACCCCAAGCTCCCCGCCCCAGTTCGCGCGCCCATCTGGGCTGTGGAATGACTCCACTCGGAGACACCAGGAGCCCCACTACCCCAAGTACACAATTTGGGAGTCTAGAAATTTTCATTTAGAAGAGGTCAGTCTCCCTCTGCTCCAGTATGTTTTCCACTCTGCTGTCAGTAGAAACCTTTCTAAAAACGCAGATTTTGTTACTCTTCTGCTCAAAAATCTTTAATGGCTCCCCGTCAACTACAGGATAAAGTCCAAAATCCTTGTGGCAGAATAGTAGTGTGGTTAAGAGCACAGCTTTAGAGCCAGCCAGACCTGAGTTTGCGTTTGAGCTTAAGGTCTTCTAGCTGTGTGACTTTGGACAAGTTGCTTTACCTCGCTGAATTTCAGTTTTCTCATCTGTAAAGTGGGACTAATAATAATACCCTTTAAGGTGGTTGAGAAGTTTAAGAAATGTAATCCTTGTAAACTTCTTAGCACAGTATTTAGTAAGCACATAGATGTTTAGTAGGTGATAATTATTAATTTTTTGTATTTATTTATTTGGTTGCTCTGGGTCTTAGTTGCGTCAGGCAGCCTCCTTAGTTGCAGCTTGCCGGCTCCTAGTTGCAGCATGTGAACTCTTAGTTGCGGCATGCATGTGGGATCTAGTTCCCTGACCAGGGATCAAGCCCGGGCCCCCTGCATTGAGAGCATGGAGTCTTAACCACTGCGCCACCAGCGAAGTCCCTAGGTGATAATTATTCACATGGCACTCAAGGTCCTTCATAATTTAGCCTCTCCCTGCCTTTCATAGCCTCCACTCCTACCACATCATCCTATTCTAGCATCATTTCCCTGACACCAATTCACTGTCATGCCTCCATACTTTTCCTTCTCCTTAAAATCGCTTTTCTTTCTTGTCTATCTGGAAAAAATCCAATCCTATATGACAGTGGAGTCTTCTCAACACCGATTCCTCTCTTCCCAGTCACAGCTCCTATAACGCTTGGGATCATGCCTCCTAAATCCTCGGGAATAGTTCCAATCTCAAATAGTCTGTGGTATTATCAAGAATGTATCGGTACCTCCCTGGTGGTCCAGTGGCTAAGTCTCCACGCTCCCAACGCAGGGGGCCTGGGGTTCGATCCCTGGACAGGGAACTAGATACCACATGCCGCAACTAAGAGCCCACACGCGGCAACGAAGATCCTGTGTACTGCAACTAAGACCTGAGGCAGCCAAATAAAATATAAATAAATAAATATTTAAAAAAAGAATGTATCAAAATAATGCCATTCACAGCAACATGGATGGACCTAGAGATTGTCATATAGAGTGAAGTCAGAAAAAGAAAGACAAATATGGTATAATATCACTTATATGTGGAATCTAGAAAAATGATACAGATCAACTTATTTGCAAAGTAGAAATAGAGTCACAGATGTAGCAAACAAACTTATGGTTACCAAGGAGGGATGGAAGGAGGTGGGATGAATTGGGAGACTGGGATTGACATATATACACTACTATACATAAAATAGATAACTAATGAGAACCTATGTATAGCACAGGGAACTCTACTCAGTGCTCTGTGGTGACCTAAATGGGAAGGAAATCTAAAAAAGAGTGGATATATGTATGTGTATAACTGATTCACTTTGCTGTACAGCAGAAACTAACACAACATTGTAAAGCAAATATACTCCAATAAAAATTAATTAAAAAAAGAGTGTATGGGGCTTCCCTGGTGGCGCAGTGGTTGAGAGTCCGCCTGCCGATGCAGGGGACACGGGTTCATGCCCCGGTCCAGGAGGATCCCACATGTCGCGGAGTGGCTAAGCCTGTGAGCCATGGCCGCTGAGCCTGTGCTCCGCAACGGGAGAGGCCACAACAGTGAGAGGCCTGCGTACCGCAAAAAAAAAAAAAGAAGAGTGTATCAACTTCTTTTCCCATTTTTTATTCTGAAAATATGGTTTTCAAAACACAGCATTTGTGCATACTCTGTGATGGCACCTATTATGTTTTATTCTGATCATTTCTGTGTCTGTCTTTGTCACTAGTCTGTGATCCTTTTGAGGCCAGGGACTTTATCTTCATCTGTGTATACCAGGAATTCCCATAGTGCCTAGGATGTAGTTGAGGCTAAATAATGCTAATTCAATGAATGAATGAAATAATGACTAATTGAGTGAATAAGATACCCATCCTCTTATTTTGCCTCTATGTTGACCTAGCCACTCCATTTTGATGTTAGGAACTGTCCTAAGACATGAAGGTCACTTTAGTAAGGCTGTGTGTGTTTGTGTGTGTCTGTGTATACACTATTTCCTTCAAGTCTGTATGTGTGGCTCTATTTTGAGATCACCAGATTGCCACCCCCCTTTCTAAAGGATATATTGGTGAATTCCCTTTTGCATATCCTTGGGGACACCAAGCCAATGTGTCCTGTTCTGCCCCTGCTTCCACACCCTGCCACGTCACCCCAGTACTGCTATGCCAGGAATGTTACTGGGGAAGAGTGGCTCTATGACTCAGAGGCCACCCCAGGGATTGACTGGGAGTGGAGGCAAAGACAAGGTTTTGGGGAAAATATGGAAAACACCCCTAGCCCCACTTTTTGAATTTTGCCCTCATCCATTCATATATTCAGGAGCATGTACTGGGCACTGCTCTGTACCAAGTACTATTCTAGATGTCTGAGATATAAAAATGGATAAGATGTAATCTTTGCCCTGGAATGTTCACAGTCTTATGAGGGAGACGAACAAGCAAACAGACTGACATAATGCAAGGTGGTAGGAGTAATAGTAGCTATTTTCTGGTACGTAAAGGAGAAACAAAAACCCCTAAGAAGCTACAAAACAGGGGTCTCTTCTTTCAGGAGGGCTGAAATCTAATTCATAGATCAAGTCTGAGGGAGAAGATCCCCCTGTTGACTTACCGCCTTGGTAAGTCAGGGTTTTATTGGTCTATTTCCAATTTTAAAATCAGAATCATAAAATACTTCAGTGTTACACAATCCCACTGCTATGGAATTATAGGTGGTAATACAAGCATTTGAAGTTTGTCTATCTTCAGTACCTAAAGGAAGATGAATAACCCAGCAGGTGGCAGCAGGGAAACAATTATTTTAGATCTTGATGACACAGGGGGTAGAAGGCAGAGGTAAATGCTTGGAGATATTTTCTGGACGTTCAGGTCCTATGTTCCCTTTCGAAGACCCAGAAGACATCCAGATAGAGGATAACCAGGCCCATGTTGGGGGCTGCAATACCTAGGATTTTTCCTCCATTTCTCTTCATTTATTCATTCCACGAATAATTATTGAGCCCCTAATAAGTACAGACTTACGTCATGGGAAGAGCTGGAGATACAAGGGTGAAACACAGTCCTTGCTCTCTAGCAGCTTACAGTCTGTTCAGAGAGAGATAGTCAGGTCTTCATATCCCCAACGGGGTTCACAATCTCCACGGTATTTTGTTAAAATTGAGCGGGGTTAGTACGAAGACTAGACTAGAATGGGGAATTTCTCTGAGTCTCCATGCCCTTATGGAGCATAGGTAACTGAGAGAGGCTAAGGGCTTGGATCACAGGAAGATTGTGCTAGGTTTCTGATCGCCTTCCGTGGCCCTTTTGGACAGGTCTTTATTCCTGTCCATTTATCAAATAAATGGACATTATTCGTTCATTTATCAAATATTTACTCAACTCAATCACTGTGCCCAGTATTGCGTTTGAGGCAAAGTGTAGATCTGTTTCGAATGTCATTCAGAGGAAGGCAAGACATGCACGCATGTTAAACTAAATGGTAAACAAGGCAGTAAAGCCGGAAGAATACTTGGTGGAATGTGATGTTTTGTGATATTCGACTGTTTAACGTCTTTGACTTGACACCGGCGCTTCTATCGAGAGTTCTTCCTGGGCTGTGAACTGAAAGGGTCAGCCCCGCGCACTCGGATCCCCTGCTCAGACTTCGCAACCTAGTCCCTTCAAAGAGTCGAACGTAGATTGACTCACCGAGGCACCGTAGACAGGGGCGCGCCGTCTTCGACCCTTGGATTTGTTAGGGCGCGAGGGACCCGCGTCATGTGACCAGGAGCAGCCTCCTGATTGGCTTGGTTTCTCTGGGGACCTCCCTCCTCCCCCATTGGATGGGATGGGCGGCGGAGGAGAAGGTTGGGCGCATGCGCGATGCCTGGATTGCTTTGGCCACCGGGAGTGGAGCGGTGGGGTTGGGCGATAAACAGGCTGTGCCTAGGGAGGAGGGGGAGGGGGCACTCGCTCCGCTGGGACTCCTCACCTTGTTCTTTTAGGTGTGGTTTGGTCCGGACGCGGGGTCCCGGCAGCTGGCTTGAGCTTCCTCTGTTGTGAAGGGGGAAAGTAGCTCCCGCGGAAAGCGGTTAAAGTTGCGGAGAGGGTGCGAGACGAGAGTTCTCCCCCATGCCCGCCGAATGGTGCGGCCCTGAGTTGGTCCCGGAGCCGGCGCGACGTATCTGAGAGAGGGGGCGGGGAGGTGGCCCGCAGAACGCGGGTTCTGTGAAGAGACGTGGGGAAGATTCGACTCCGAGAAGAGGAAGAGGACTGAAAGGGAGCGAGGCCGCTGAGGGGTAGGGGGCTGCCAAGATGGCGTCGGCCTCCTCTGGGTCGTCGGCAGTCGGGTTTTCGTCCGCGGATTCCGGGGTCCCTCCCTGCACCTCGTCTTCAGGTAATCAGGGCGGAGCGTGGGCTGGGGGCTGTTGCCAGCCGTGCGATGGGGGGAAGAGCGAGACCCAGGAAGGGCACCTGTAGTTGGGGATGTCCGAGTCGTTGCCGGTAAGGAGGACAGAGGACTAGGCTTTTCTAGTTTTCTGAGCTGGCAGGGGGAGTGTGAGGAAAGGATGGATTTGACTGAGGAAAGGGAAGTTGTCAGGAACATTGGCTGGCTTCGAGGAGACCGGGTTGAGGGCTTTGAAGGAGTAGGGTCAGGAAGGGATGGAGATTGACGGTGGGGGTAGGAAGGCAACAGAAAGGTAACCGAAGGGAGTAGAGAAAAGTAGACTAAATGGAGGCTTCGTAATTAGGGAGGAATTACGTAGTGTGAGAGGCAGGTAGAATCCAAGTTGATTGCGGGATTAATTGGATGAAACTGGAAGAGAAGCCATGGGACTTAAAAGGTATGGAAGCGTTATGGGGCGCTTTCCATTGCTGGGGAGTTAGGGAATTGTGGATTTTGTGGGAGTTATTGGAGCCGTCTTTTTAGTCACACCTTCCCCTAATGCGTCATTCTTTCTCACTTCGTGTCCCCCGCCCCCAGACACGCGTGCGCTCGCACAGATACACGTACACATTTTATCAAACATTCTCCTTTGGAGACTCCCATCTCTAGACTGCCCAACTTTGGGAAGGAATGGGAGGTTTTGAAGAAAACCTGAGGAATGTGGGAAATCAGGGCTAAAAGACCCTGAAAACAGATGGAGAAGGCGGAACGGTGGTGTCTCGAATTGCAGTAAAGGTTGAGGGAGGTGATGCTGGGAATTAGGCCTGAGAAGGATGGGGTGGGGGTGGCTCTCAGTGCTGTGGCGAATATTGCATAATAGGAAATGGACTGGAGGAATGATTAGGCACGACATTGGCACTTGGAGAAGGGAGCCAGGGAATATAGCTCAAAGTGGTTAGAAACTATTGAAGATTGAGGAGAGCTGAGGAGCCCACAAGAAAAGCAACAGATTGTGTGTAGGAGGGAAAATGTGTGGTGTTGGGGTTTGGGTGTGTGTGGGGGGGGTAGTTTGAGTCAGAAACTGTTCTAAGGCTTCCATCAGAAATGTCTGGGGTTCCACAGTGACTGTTGCCTCTACACTGTGAACAGGAGAGGCTGCCACATGATGGATGCTTTACCTGGGACATTGACATTTCCTTAGGCCTGGGATTGCATCCTTCCCATTTTGAGTTGACTAAATAGAGGCTTCCACCTTTCATATTCCAGTTCAGATGAGCAAATACTTGGTCACAAATATCTTTTTCCAAACTGCAGTTTTATTTATGTACATCTATTTTAGTTTCTTGAGAGGTGATTTTTACCTTTCCTATAAAGGATTAGCAGGCCAGAACAACTCATGTTGCATTCTGAATGTGAAGAAGGATAAAGTTAAAATGACAGTGTTTTTAATACAGTAGCTCCTCAATTTAAAGCCTCTTCTCCTGCTCCCCCAGTGCTGAAAGAAGAATGGTTGTGTACAGTCGTTAAACAGACTTAACTATCAAATCAGGTATTAGAGACCAGGTTGATTTTTTTTTTTTTTTAATTTATTTATTTTTTATTTTCGGCTGCCTTGGGTCTTTGTTGCTGCGCTTGGGCTTTCTCTAGTTGCGGCCAGCGGGGGCTACTCTTCGTTGCAGTGCCTGGGCTTCTCATTGCGGTGGCTTCTCTTGTTGCGGAGCACCGGCTGTAGGCGCACGGGCTTCGGTAGTTGTGGCTCCTGGGCTCTAGAGCGCAGGCTCAGTAGTTGTGGCACACGGGCTTAGTTGCTCCACGGCATGTGGGATCTTCCTGGACCAGGGCTCGAACCCTTGTCCCCTGCATTGGCAGGCGGATTCTTAATCACTTAATCACCAGGGAAGTACTACTATTTTAGATGTCAATATTTGATATTTTTGTATGTTTTTATATTTTCTGCCAGATCCGAGGACTAGCAAGATGTAATTCAGATTGAATAAATGTTTTTTGCTATTGTGTTTTCACCAGAAAATCAAATATCAGATTTTAGTGGACTTTACAGCTCCTTGGCTCTACTGTGTTCATATGTGAAGTGAAGATATAAAAATGACTAAAAATAAATAACTTAAATTCCTTTTTTTACTTTTGTTTCTTAACACTCTCCTTTTCTGCTTCTTTGGCAAATACTGAAATGGATTAAGAAATTAAGAAAAATTCTCATAAATATTTCTGAAAACATGGGATTATCTGTGTGCAGATAAGCATTGTTGACTTTTTGGTGTATCTGCATGTTCACTTAGGTTTTGGCTTACTGAATTTAATTTAATAGAATATTTCATTTCAAGGATATGTTTTTGAAGAGGATGTTTGATTCTGATGCAAAAAAGGCTACTGAGAATGTGTTTTATTTGTGATTGGAGGGGAGTGGTGCTCTGTCGGGATGGTACCAGGGGAATTAAGACATTGGCAGGAATAAACAATGGTTTATGATTTCCTAAATTGTTAAAGGCTAGCTTTGTAGAAATTCAAGGTAGGACTGTGTGTGTTTGTGTTTTAATCATCCTAAAACCAAGTTACTGTCCTTAGATGTTTAGCTGAACTCAAATATTGGTGAAACTGAAATCCTAAAGGCAAGATTCTCTGGCAGTGTTGAAAGTGGATACAAAATAAGAATGTCAGGATTCAGGGACAGATAGATGTTTTAGATAAGTCACTCATAACCTTTGGAGGCTCAAAATCTTTTGGCATTCAAATTAGGAAGGACAGGTAATTTAGAACGGTTGTTCCCTGCCAGTATTACACCCCTGTCTATATTATTTCACCATTAAGTGAGAGCTGGTCTTTTAAGTTGCTGACAAGTGAAATACAGAAGGTAGAGCAAAGCATTCACTCTGAGAGATATGTGAGAGATGTCTGAGAGATCATTTCCCATTGGAGTAATTACCATGTTTGGATTTGTGGGAGGGAGGCAATTATAAATGAATATAAGTTTACAGCAGCCATTATCATGTGCTTGTTCTTAAACTTTGGTTAAGAAAAGGTGATGCAGTTTGCTGTCAGCTGTTGCATGTGTTAAAGGAAATGTATTCCCTCTCTTCCTTTCCCTCCTATCATTATTTGGACAGTGGCACCACTTAAAAAATAAAATCAGCCCTGATAAGGTGCTGTTGACAGTGCGACCATCTGTCATACCAGTGTAAGAGAGCCCCCTGTCTGCAGTTTGACTACTCCATCAAGAGTTTGAAATTCAGCCAGAGTCCCCTTTTTACCACCAGGAAGGGAGTGAAGAGTTTCTGCTTTGGAGACTTGATTTGAAGTTAGTGGAGGAGTTAAAAAGTAAAGTTAGAGTGTTGAGGTGTCCTTTGCTCCCTTGAAATAAGAGCTGTGTGATAAAATCATGTGTGACTCCCCTAAGAAAAAGCACTTGAAACCTTAGAAGATCATGAGCCTATAGCTCCTTTTGCTTCAGACCAGAACATTTCTGAAATTGTCACACATCACCAAATGATTTTATCATGAGCACAAATGATTTGGAGGTAACTTTTACAGCTTCTTTTCTGACTTTCCCTTAACTACTGAGGGAGACCCTGGAAGACACAGGAGAGAAGATTTTTGCTTGGAACTTTTGTAGTAGAGCCAGTCTTATCAGTCCTTGATTCTGGTGGCTTTGTTCTTCTCAGCAGAGCTCCACCAGTAAATGTATGCTGTAATCTGATAACTCCAAATGGTAGGGGTTTTTTGTCTGTGTTCTTTGGTACAGTGTAGGCCATTTGCAGACTGATCTCTTTCCTTTCAATTCTTCCATACTAGTGAAAAATAAAGCAACTTAAGCCACTTTATTGGAGTGAGAAACTGAAATTTGGAAAGGTAAAGATAGAACAGAATGCCATGTAGGCAGAATATCACCAGGTTTTGTTTTGATTGGTATTTTATAAGTAGGGAGAGATTTTTCTTTTTGCTTTCTCCACAGAGGGTTTACACCCACCTACCCCCTCCTTTTTTCTTTTGTCCCCTTGGTAGATTCTGCCGGAAAACTGACATTAGAACATCATTGTTTTTAATTATCCATTTGTTTCTGCCATGGCTGCTCAAGCCCACTGTCAAGTATAATTATATAGACTTATTAGGTATCCAGTATCTGATATTAATTGGTAATGTATACTTATAAGTTAGCTCTGAATATCAAAATACATATTATGTTTTGTTTTTTAATTTCTGTGTGCTGTTCTGGTTTGATATAAAACTGTTCTGATTAATAACTTTGCTTAAATATGTGCCAGCTACTAGCTGTTAAATATTTTATCAGTCTATTTTTCTTTGATAATAAATAATGGGAACTATAGCCTGTGAAGTGAACAACAGCGATAACACCAGGCCAAATTCAGAACTGGGGAGAAGGAAAGTGTGGGGGGGTATTTTGTCCTTTAAACTGGATATTTTCTTTCCTAGAATTTTGGGATATTCTTACTTGACATGAAGAAAGCAAAAAGACCAAAGTTGTCAGTTTCTTCTCTCTTCTTTTTACTGGGTGTATCCTCTTGATCAAGGATACAAGTATGCTTCAGGAAGTGTGCTGTTTCTGATAGCTCGGCAGAGAGAATTTCTGTTTCTCTGTGTTCCAAACCCCAGCCCATCATTCAGTCTCAAAGAGAGAGTGTTTGGACTGATGGTGTTTCCTAGAGGAAACCTCTTCCTAATTCATTTCCCCTGTTGCCCTTCACTTCTCCACCCTTTCCTATCAAAAGAGAACATTGTTTAGTTTGTACATATGTGTTGGTTCTGTTTCATTCATATCTCCTAATGAGCTTCTGTTGTTTCTTTTACTGTTGTTTTGTTTGAAGTGAACTTTTTTCCCTCAACCCCTCCATCTTTTTAAACTTTGTTACTGATCATTTTTCTTTCTCCTCCTGTGAAATTAGTCTGTTTGTTTTTAATGGCTGTATACACTATGTATTAATTTTTAAATATTTGATTCCCAAAAAGTCACCTTATTGTTGGAGTCTGAAGAAGAC